GCATTTGTTTTTGTGGGGACTTCTTTGGTTTCAGACCAGCTTTGTTTGTTTGTGTTTTGGGTTTTTTTTTGGTACTGGGGATCGAACTCGGGACCTTGCACTTGCGAGGCAGGTGGCGGAACCACTGAGCTAAATCCCTGGCCCACAGACCAGCTTTTCATGCCAGTTTCTGGGTTTAGTGTCTATAAATGAGCATTATGTAGATAGTATGAATTTTGACTACATCCTCAACATGGGTCCTAGCCTGTAGGTTTCAGCTTTTCACGGAAGACTTTTTGCTGAGATTGTGGGAGAATTCTGGATGTTTTACTCCCCACTTTGGGCAGGTATTTATCTCTGAAGATAATGTAACCACTGAGCTAAATCCCCAGCCTCTTGCCACTTTTAAATGAACTCTCCATTAGCTTGGTGGTAGATAATTTGATTTTTCCTTATTTTCTGTGAGGTACTAACAGCTAAAAGTAGTCAAGATAGCCCATTAAAAGCTTCATTATTCTGTAGATAAAGAATGTAAACTAAGAACTAAAATAAATCATATCTTAAAAATTAAGTGTGAGAGGGCTGGGGATTTAGCTCAGTGGAGCTGCTGCCTGCCTCGCAAGCGCAGGGTCCTGAATTCGATCCCCGGTACCAAAAAAAAAAAATTAAGTATGAGAATTATAGAACCTAGAGCCTTAATCAGTTTCTTCTTCTCTGAGATCTGCTTCATAAGATGTATACTAGGCTGGGGATTTAGCTCAGTGGTTTCGCCGCCTGCTGCACAAGCGCAAGGACCCAAGTTCGATCCTCAGTAAAAAAAAAAAATATATATATATATATTTTTTAATTGGTGCATTTTAGGTATACAATATAATAACATTCATCTTTGGAAATTTGCACCTTTACATAATCTCTTGGTTCTTATTTTTCCCCCTTCCCCTGCCCTCCCTTCAACCCCTCCATCCCTCCCTATTTACAAAGACTTTGTTTCCATTTTTTCATTTTCTCATATTCCATTCCCTTCTTTCCCTTCCCCTTCTCCCTTGCAAGATGTATACTTTGAAAGGGATTAATCTTTAGCTGTTGTTTTCTATGAAAAGGTTTTAAATTGTCCATTTTATACTTTTTCTTATATCTTGTTACATTATCTTTAAGAAACGTGATAGTGTAAGAATGAAAATGTAGGGACAGACTGCTGGGGCCAGATACCTGCTTTACCATTTTCTAATTGTATGATTTTAAACCGACTATTGAACTCTGTATGCGTCAAGTTTCCTTACCCATAAGAAGATAGGCTGACTGATTTATGAAAAATACTATGTACAGTACTTTGCTCATATAAAATCTATAAGGATTAAATGATATTTTATTTGAACTGGTGTCCGGCAGTTCCTTTGGTTCATAGAGATTATAAATTTGCATGTTTCCCCACCTGCTGCACAAGAAGAAGGACCCAAGTTCGATCCCCGGTAACAAAAAAAAAAAAATAAATAAATAAATACATTTGCATGTTTAGGATAAGTTTGGTAAGGTAAGGATGAAATCAGTGAATCACTACCCTCTCTTCCCTCAGCGCCCCCCTCCATACTGGGTTCTAACCCAGGGCCTCACACTAGGCAAGTGTTCAGGCACTGAACCCCAATCCCCTCTTTGTTTAAATATAAACCCATTTTGTTCAAGAGATGCAGATGAAAACAACACTGAGATTCCACCTTACTCCAGAAAGAATGGCTGCTATCAAGAAATCAACAAATAACAAATGCTGGCGGGGATGTGGAGAGAAAGGAATCCTTCTCCATTGTTGGTGGGAGTGCAGACTGGTGCAACCACTGTGGAAGTCAGTATGGAGATACCTCAAAGAACTAGGGCTAGAGGTCCCATTTGACCCACTTATTCCCCTGATGAGTATCTTCCCAAAGAATTAAAGGAATCATACCACAGTGATATATGTGCACCCATGTTTATAGTGGCCCAGTTTGTAACAGCTAAAGCTTGGAAACAGCCCAAGTGCCCATCAACTGAAAACTGGATAAAGAAGATGTGGTTTTTTGATAAAATGGAGTACTACTCAGCCATAAAGAATGAAAAACTAGAGACATTTATAGCTAAATGGATACATATTGAGGCCATACTCAAATAAATAGAACACACATGTGTAAATACCAAATCATTTCTCTAGTGTGAGAAACTGAAAATGTAAATAAGGATTAAAATGATTAAAATGAATAATTGATAATTTGAAATAGGAAAAGGTCCAAAGGTGTAGGGGTGGTGGGAGGGGAAGGGGAAAGGGAAGAAGGGAAAGGAAAAATTATGAGAAAAAAAAAATGGAAATGAAATCTATGTAAATAGGGAAGGGCACACAGGTAATGGGGAAAATAAGAACTAGGATACATCATGTACAGGTACAAGCACCCAATGATAAATGTAAACATACTGTATACCTAAAATGTACCAATGAAAGAATTAAAAAATATATATATAAACCCATTTTGGGCTGAGATTTAGCTCAGTGGTGCCGCCACCTGCCTCCCAAGTGCAAGGTCCTGAGTTCAATTCCAGGTACCCCCCAAAAAAGACATATATATATATATATAATTTATGCCCATTTTTACCTAGAAATATTAAACATCTCAGTACAGAAAATGCTGACATTTGTTTTGTTACAGGGCATATTTTCAAATCTCATTTAGTATGACATACAGTTTTCAGTTATTAAAGGTATATTTTGCATTTAAGAATACATAAAATTGGTGGCTCTGGTGAGATTGAAATCTTGGCAGGTACAGAAGCTGACGCCCAGTACCAGTTCACTGGCATCAAAAAATATTTCAACTCTTACGCTCTCACAGGTAGAATGAATTGTGTACTGGCCACATATAGAGGCATTGGTCTGATGATCTTGTATTTCAAATTAAGGTCTAAAAAAACAAAAATGCTAGCTGTGAAAACAACAGAAGTGTGCTGGGAATCAAACCCAGGGCATTGTGCATGCTAGGATTTTACAGTATCTGACTTCATCTGTGAAGTTCCTGCGCCTGGAAGAGCTGTCACTCATCATGTAATATTCAGTTTGTACAATAAATTATGAACCTGGAAAAAAAAAGAATACATAAAATTGAATTTGATTGTTTTTATTCAACTATTGAGTACAGGCAAAATTGTTATGTAACTTGTTTTCATTTTTTCTAACTTATAAAAGAGCCTTAAGTTTAGTAATGATAAGTCAGTTATTTTTGTAAGAAGCTAAGTTTTTAATCTCAGTGTTTTTGGAGTATGTGTGTATATTTATCTTGATATCTGTAAATCAGCTCCAAATCAAAAGTTTATCACATTGTTTAGCTCACAAATAGAAACTCGGTTATAAATTCTTGACTTTATTTTCCTTATGTTGTTCTGTATTTGGTTAATAGACAAGTGAATATGACAGTGATTAATAGTAATGAATTTTACTGTGCACATTCCCAGAAACTCTTTATTTTTTGTAGCTAAAAAACAAACCTTTCCAGGAATAGCAAATCTTTCCTTGTGAAGGCTTTAATATTAATATAATATGCAACCATTATATGAAGATAACATTTCTGCCTGCCCTTTCTAAGCATGTCTTTTTAAGCAGTCTTCAGGGATTTTTTGCAGCAGCCTTTATGGATTTGCATTAATATATGCACCTTACTTGATCTAGCCTCTCTTATGACTAATGCTTTATGCTAGGAGTGTGCTGAATTTGTAGTATGTTTTCCATGAACAAAGTTGACTGATTCATTTGGAGAATGGACTCTAGACCTTGACCAGTTTTTGAAACCCCCGTTCTCATCAGCTGAGCTAAGTGTTAAGTATATAGACCATAAAGTGAATTAATATATCAGAATTCTTCCTAAGGTACTGTATTACATATGTAGCATATGTAAATCTAAGACACTATTATTTATGGCATATCTAAATTCAAAAGCATTTGTTGAAATTAAGGCAGGGGAGAAAAGGGCAGTAGTAGTTGTCTCATTTTAACCATGTGCTGCATGTATTTAACATAAATGTTTAACGCATTTATTAAAATATTCTTCTGGGCTGGGGATTTAGCTCAGTGGTTTTGCCACCTGTGTGCAAGTGCAAGGACCTGAGTTCGATCCCCGGTACCAAAATAAATAAATAAAATATTCTTCAGGGTAACAATTCTAAAAGGTGAGGATGTACAAATGATTACGACATGATTAGAAATCCTGCCATCCTTTATTGCTGTAGATGTGCAGTACTGTTAGGGTACTTATGAAGTATCATGTCTAGAAGCGATTTACAGTTCTTATGGTTTGAAGAAGCGCCATTGGAGTATATTGACCAGCTGTGCTTTCTGGACAATGTCTTTGTTTTTATTTTTGTTTCATTTACTTATTTTGTAATGCTAAGGATCAAATTCAGGGCCTCAGACATGTTAGGCAAGCACTCTAACCCTGAGCCTCATCCCAGTCCCTTATTTTGATATGTTTACATTAACTGTCCAGTTTTATTTAAGGAAAAAGGTTATGATTTTAAGTTTCCTTTTTTATTTTCAGTTTCTTGACTAAGCATATAATTATATTGGGCTTTATGTGATATACCAAGTTCTAGGTACCATTCTAAGTGTTTTATAAGTATTAAGTTTTAACAGTTATGTACAACTATTTTATATTCATGTTACATTTCTTGTAAGCATCTTTCTTGATATTATGTAATCAAACTGACTGACTCATATTCATTAAAACTATTCATTAAATCCATTAATTCTGTTCATCAAATAAAGTAGAAATTAAATTAAAAAAAAATTTAATTGCTCATTTATTTTTAACAGGCCAGTACAGTACAATACTTATAATAGTATATCTGTTATACAAATATTTACTTACAATATGTTACATATACAAAATGCTAGTTTCAAAAGCTATACTAGTCTCAAACGCTAGTTTAACTCCCCTTAAGAAAGAAGAAAAACTTTTAAAAATGGAGGGATGGTTATAAATTGAAAAATAATTTTTCATTTTTTATTTCAGCTTTACCAGCAGGGACGATTATGTCAATTGGGCAGTGAATTTTGTGAATTGGAAGTTTTTGCTAAAGTATTGAGAGCTTTGGATAAAAGGTAAGATCTTTTATTTATTTATTTTTTATTCATTAAGTTTATTGGTACATTTTAGGTATACATTATAATCGTATTCAAACTGTGCCGCTATAAACATGTGCGTACATACATCGCTGTGGTATGATGTTTTTAATTCTTTTGGGAAGATACCAAGAAGGGTAATAGCTGGGTCAGATGGAACCTCTAGTTTCAGTTTTTTGAGGAATCTCCACAATGATTTCCACAGTGGTTACAAAAGGTAAGTTCTTTTTAAAAACTGGTAAAATATACACAACATTTTTAAGTGTACAATTCAGTAACATTAAATACATTTACCTTGTTATGCAGCAATACAGTATCCACTTACAGAATGTTTTTATCATTCCACACAAAAACTGTGCCCATTAAATGATAACTTCCCATTTCCTCCTCCCCTAGTGCTGTAACCGCCATTCTGTTTGTCTGTGTGAGTTTGAATACTCTAGGTATATCCCATAGAAGTGTAATCCTATAATATTTGTCCATTTGTGTTGGTTTTATTTCATTTATCATAATGTTTTTACTGAAATTTTTTCACTTAACTCTGTGTTTTGTTTTTTTTTGGTACCGGGCATCAAACTCAGGTCCTTGTGCTTGCGCAGCAGGCGGCGAAACCACTGAGCTAAATCCCCGACCCATCATTTATCATAATGTTTTTAAGGCTAAGCTATGTGATAACATCTCAGAATTTCTTTCTTTTCTTTTTTTTCTATTGTGCTGGGAATTGAACCCAGGGCTTTGTGCATGGTAGGCGAGGTCTGTACCATTGAACTCATACCATACCTGCCCTTGTTCCTGTATAAAGCTAGATAATCCACTGTATGTATATGCTACATTTTGTTTATCCGTCTATCAGTGGATATTTGAGGCATTTCCACCATTTGGCTAATATAAATAAATAATACTTCTGTCAATATAGGTGTACAAAGTACTCTTTGAATCACTGCTTTCAGTATTTTTGGGGGGTTATATATACCAAACAGCTGGATCATGTGTTAATTCTGTTTTAAAGTTTTTGAGAAACTACCATAATATTTTCCATAAACTCATTTTAAAGTAGCATTTAGTTTTTACTATTTCTTACATAATTGGAAAGTATTTCTTAAATATGATCATTTCAGAAAGCTAAGAATAGAATAATCTTGCCTTTATAACTACAGTGCCAATATAAATCTATAAAATTGCTTCGTTGAACTTGTTTTTTCCATATATCTGGTATTATTTTACTCTACATTATGTTAATTTACTTGCAGTTGTTACCAGAACCCCAGAAGCTCTGTCATGCTTTTTCCAGTTATTACTTCCCCTGCTCCTGGGTTGGGGCATTTTGCTTGTTTTAGATAATTAGGCTTATATAGTATATACTCTTTTTAGTCACTAGTTCCCCTCCTGACAAGGTTCATTTTGCTTGTTTTAGATGAATTCATATGCTGTATGCCCTTTTGTGTACATTTTTTTGTTTTGTTTGTTTGCTCAGTATTATGTTTCTGAGAATCACCTTTGTTGGACTTCGTTCATTCTCATCTCTGTATATGTACAGTGCTCCGTTCCATACCATTATTCATTCTGTTATTGTTGAACACTTGAGTTGTTTCATTTTTACCTGTTATGAACAGTGCTAACCATAGGTGTGGGGGCACATGCCTATAATTCCAGCACTTAGGCTGAGGCAGGATGATTGCAAGGTCCAGGCCATCCAGGACTGTGTAGCAAGATCCTGTCTCCAAAAATAAAAAACAAAACAATAAACAAGTAAATAGTGCTACTGTGATTACCCTTATATGTGTCTTTTGGTGAACAAACATATGTTGTATATTTATTAGATATACCTAGAAGTACAATTTGAAAACATTTTTAAGAGTTAATACTGGAAGAGTACCAGCTAACATGATACAGAGAGTGTAGGAAAAGTATTGTCACAGTAATTGTGGAGTCCAAATAAAGCTTTGTGACAAAAAGGATAGAATTTGTTCATCCTGCTCCTCCTCCTTTGGAAAGTCAGTACTCTGGCAGGTGAGCTTTTTGAATTCAAGAAAGGGAGACTGAATTCATCTTGCCCATTGTAAGTATTGTGAAGTAGGAGAAGAGATGATCTGACCTCTGATTGTACTCTTTTGCATTCTTCCCTAAATTTGCCTTCACTGCCATTCCTTTTTCATAAGCCACATTTCTAAAAGAATAAGAATATGCTTTCACAGAATACTTCTAATCTCTAATATGAATATTGTCAAGTTGTTTCATTTGTTCAGCAAATTAAATAAATATTTGTTGAATGTCTACTACTGTATGTGCTAGGTACAGTTCTAGATGCCAGGAATACAGCAGTGGATATGAACTTTAAGGTCCTTTCTTCATGGAGACTGTATTTTTATAGAGGGATAATAAGATAAATAGATGAGTAAATAAAATGAATTTAGCATTCAAGGATGACTGACATGTGGCCTATATACTAAGAAAACAGAAAAACCTCTTGGTTGCTTAATTAAAATTAGTGACGTATAGGAGTGACGTACTCCAATAATCCCAGCACTTGGGAGTCTGAGGCAGGAAGATCTCTGCAAATTGGAGGCCAACCTGGGCTACATGGTGAATTCAAGGCCCTGCATAGCAAGACTTTGTCTCAAAAAACCCAAAAATAAATAAATAAGTCTTAAAAATAGGAAAGAAGATCTCAATTTTGGCAAAGGAAAATTATAGAAAAGCTTTTTAAAAATACTGTTTAAATAAAGGTTAGCTTTCTAAGATTTGAATGACTGCAGTTCTGAATATAGCCATTGTAATAGGTTTTTTGTTTTGTTTTGGTTTTTGTTACCAATGATTGAACTTGTGTCCTTGTGCTTGCACAGCAGGCAGCAAAACCACTGAGCTAAATCCCCAGCCCTGTAATAGGTTTAGTGGAAAATACCTCTTTCATCTCTTAGGTTATTTTTCATAAGTCCAAAGCCTTGGTAAGTGTTATTTGTGAGACTAAAAGGAAATAACTTGATCTTTTTTCCCTTTATCCAAAGCAATGCCTCTGTTATTTACAGTTTTGTTTTTTAAAGATTTCTTTATGAGTTATAGTTCACATATAATAAAATTTGCCATCTTAAATTGTAACACCCAGTAGCTTTTAGTATATTCACAAGACTTCACGACCATCACTATCTTTTTTTTTTTTTTTTTTTGGTACCGGGAATCGAACTCAGATCCTTGCATTTGCAAGGCAGGCGGCAGAACCACTGAGCTAAATCCCCGGCCCTCCATCACTATCTTAATTCCAAAACATTTCCTTGCCCCAAAAGGAAACCAGTAACAGTCACCCTTATTTCCTGTCATCCTTGGATCCTGGCTGACCATTAATATTTCTGTCTCTTGGGCCGGGGATTTAGCTCAGTGGTTCTGCTGCCTGCCTTGCAAGCACAAGGTCCTGAGTTCAATCCCTGGTACCAAAAAAATTTATGTCTCTGGATTTGCCTATTCTAGATATTTTATATAAATGCAGCCATACCAGATATAGTCTTTTTATTGACTCTTCTGCTTAACATAACATTTTAAGATGTTTATGTCCACACTACTTTTTTTTTTTTTGAGACAGATCTCACTGTGTAGTTCAGGGTGGCGTTGAGCTCATGGTGATCCTCCTGCCTCAGCCTCCTGAGTTCTGGGATTATAGGCATGTGCCACCACGCCTGGTCTACTTTCTTTTGTATGGTTGGATAATTTTCCATTGTGAGGATAATACTCTTTTACTAATCTAGTCATCTGTTGATGAATATTTGGGTTGTTTTTACTTGTTTCTCTCTCTTTCTCTCTCTCTTTCAACACAGTACCTCACTCTATCCCCAACCCTTTTCATTTTTGAGACAGTCATGCTAAATTGTTCAGTCTGGCCTCAATCTTGGGATCCTCCTGTCTCAGCTTCCTGAGTAGCTGAGCTTAAAGGCATGCATCACCCTGTTCACTTTGCCAGCACTTTAAAAATAAATTATACCCATTCTGTTGGGTACTAAGTGGTATCTTACTATGATTTTGATTTACATTTCCCTAATCACTAATGATATTAAGCATAATATCTTGTGTTTATTGCCTTTGATACATCTTCTTTGGATATTCCTGCCTCGGCCTCCAGAGTAGCTGGGATTACAGACTTCCACCACTGTACCTGGCTGCCTGTTTTAATTGGGTTGTCTTTATTGTTGAGTTATAATTGATTTTTCAGAGCTGATTTTAAAAGTTAGCTTCGTCTTTTGTTGCTATCAAGTTGCATACTGTGTGCATTTCCTGAGTGTTACAGAATCATTCAGTGATGAACTGAGTAAAGATAATCAGGCTTTAAGGGGCCAGGGATGTAGCTCAGTGGTTTCGCTGCCTGCTGTGCAAGCGCAAGGACCCGAGTTCGATCCCCTGTACCAAAAGAAAAAGATAATCAGGCTTTTTTTTTGTACTGGGGATTAAACTCAGGGCCTTTGCACTGAGGTACATCCCAATGGTTTTTTATTTTTTATTATTTTAAAAAATATTTTATTCTTTTATTGGTACATTTTAGGTATACAGTACATTTACATTTATCATTGGGTGCTTGTACCTGTACATGGTGTATCTTGGTTTATTTTTTTTTCCCCATTACTGTGTGCCCTTCACCCCCTCCACCCTTCCCTATTTACATAGATTTCATTTCCATTTTTTTCTTATCTCATAATTTCTCCTTTCCCTTCTTTCCTTTTCCCTTCCCCTCCCACCACCCCTACACCTTTAGACCTTTTTCTATTTCAAATTATCAGTTATTCATTTTAATCCTTATTTACACTTTCAGTTTCTCACACTAGAGAAACTATTCGGTATTTACACGTGTGTCCTATTTATTTCACTTAAGAGGATGGCCTCAGTATGCATCCATTTAGCTATAAATATCTCTAATTTCTCGTTCTTCTTTATTTTTGAGACAGGGCCTTGCTGGGCTTGAATTTCAGATCCTCCTTCCTCAGCCTCCTAAAGTGCTGGCATTACAAGCATACACCACTGTGCCATTTCAGGGTAACTTTGGAATTACCATAGCCTCATAACTCACAGGGCAAACACTTTCTTTATCTCATTCCATCTTGAAGAATAATGGTAGTACAGTATTCTTTTACAGAGAAATCAGCTTTCTAAAAGGACAAAAATAAGATGTCTCTGTCAAATAATCCTTCCTTCTCTTTCAGACATTTGCTTCATCATTGTTTTCAGGCTTTGATGGATCATGGTGTTAAAGTTGCTTCAGTCCTGGCCTACTCATTCAGTAGACGGTGCTCTTACATAGCAGAATCAGATGCGGCAGTAAAGGAAAAAGCAATTCAAGTTGGCTTTGTTCTAGGTATGTAACAGTAAAAATATGGGAGAGTTTTACCCTGTGCAGACTCAGAATTAAACCTTCTAACAGTAAAGGATTCTTCTGGGAGTTTCCCAAAGTCTGCACAGGGAGGTCATGAAGAAAATATCAGAAGAAAGGCGTGTGATGTATTGGACATTTAAGCCTGTGCCGAGCACTACAGTAGGTATTTAAATGGTGTCTTCCTAAATCCTCCTTCCCTTCCAGTGAAGTGGTGGTATTAATACCATTTCACATATGAGGAAATAGACTCAGAGAAGTTGAGTAAATAAATCCATCATATAGCTAGTAGTGAGCTGAGTTTAAAATCTTGTGACTGTATAACTACAAAGCACATATCTTTCTACCATGTCATGCTGTGACCCAGATCCTTTGGGGGCCTTAGTTTTCTCATGGCTAAAATGAGGATTATTCTGAATTTTTTCATGGAGACGTTATGAGGATAATGAAAACATGAAAGCTTTATATGCTACACATACAGAAAAATATTGTTTATTGCTTATGTAACATATGGTTTTCACAAATGTATATAGATCTGTATATTTCAGGGAGTTATTTTTAAAGTTCTTGCTAACTTCTTGATTTAAAATTTTTTTTTTTATTTTTAAATTACTGTACAGTCACAAGAAGTTGTAAAAGGGCTACCTAGAGTCCTGTGAAACATTTCTCCAGCTTTCCCCAGTGGTGACATCTTAAATAATTGTAGGACAATATAAAAACCAGAATATTTAGATTGGTATTTAGATTAGACCTTATTAGTTATCACCAGTTTTTGCATGCATTTATTTGTGTGTGTATGTGTTTCTATGCAGTTGGTTTCATATATTCATAACCTGCACCACTACCAGGATAAGAGTATTATTTTTAGCCTCACATTAATGTGTGCATGTGCATGTTTTCTCTCACATGTGTGCACATGGTTTACAGACAGAATTTCATGATCATTTCCTTCAGTCTTAGAACATTGTTTTGTAGTGGTCTCCTATTTGCTGTTGCAACTTCAGAACATTTGCGTGTGTGTGTGTGTGTGTGTGTGTGTCTGTGTGTCTGTGTGTATGGTTGTGTGTCAGTATGGATCAAACCAAGAGGCACTCTACCACTGAACTACATCTCTAGCTCCTTTTTAGTTTTTAGACAGGGTCTTGCTAAATTGCCCAGACAGGACTTGAACTTCTGGTCCTCCTGCCTGAGTCTCCCAGAGTGCTGGGATTATAAGCATGTGCTACCACATCCAAGTCTTTAAGACCATTCTTTTCTGAAAAGACTTCTTAGCATTTATCCTTTAATAGCCTCATGAACTATACATTACAACAAAGAATTGCCTAAAGAATGTCTCTGAAAATTGAAAATTGGTTAATTTCTCCCATGCAAGTACTAACCAGGCCCAACCCTGCTTAGCTTCCAAGATCAGATGAGATTGGGCACGTTCAGGGTGGTATGGCCATAGACTGAATTTGGTTAATAGGAAAGATGAACAACAACAACGAAAAGCCAGTGTGGTGGTACACACATGTAATCCCAGTACTTGGGAGGCGGAGACAGGAGGCTCGCAGCGAGTTTGATGTCTGCCTGAACTACATAGGAGACTCTGTCTCAAAAAAACCCAAATTCTAATGTCAAAGATGATGGTAGTAAGAGATGAGGCTTTGGGAGTTCTCATGAGTGGATTAGTATCCTCCTGCCTCAGCCTCCCGAGTACTGGGACTGCAGACAAGCACAAGGACCCGAGTTCGATCCCCAAAAAAAAAAAAAAAAAAAAAAAAGGATGGCATCCCTGTAGCTGTAGATGGTCATGTAAAAATCTGTGTGGGAGAAATTTAGTACCAAGGCAAATAAGAAATAGGAAAGCTAGTGTACCTTGAGGTTTTCTGTCACCTCTATATATACTTATACCAACCTGGCCACTGTAATGAGATAGAAATCTCAGATAGATACAGATCCCAGCAAATTCAGTTATATCGTCAGTTTTAATATCTTAAAATTATCTACAAAATGAAAAAAATTTATTCTAGAAACATACAGTGATAATTTTTAAAGTAACAACCTTATTGAGATATAATTCATATAGTACACAATTGGCCTATATAAAGTATACATTTCAGTGGGGTTTTTTTTGGTACCAGGGATTGAACTCGGGTCCTTGCGCTTGTGCAGCAGGCAGTGAAACCACTGAGCTAAATCCCCGGCCCCTCAGTGGTTTTTAGTATGTTTGTAGAATTATTCAAACATTACCACAGTTAAGCTTTAGAGCCTTGTCATCATCCCCAAAAGAAATTCACACTCATTGGCAGTCATTCCTCATTTCCCCCGACCCTAGGCAATTGTCAGTTTGCTTTGTTTCTGTAGACTTTGCCTACTCTAGACATTTCATAATAACAGACTCAGAAAATAATATGGACTCTGTGACTAGCTTGTTCCATTTAGCATAACATCTTCAAGGTCTATCTGTATCATAGTATGGAAGTGGAGTTTAATACAACAATTTTTTTTTTTTGGTACTGGAGATTGAACTCGGGTCCTTGCACTTGAGCAGCAGGTGGCAAAACCACTGAGATCAATCCCCGGCCCAACAAATTTTTTTGTAATACAACAAATTTTTATCCAAGAGCAGAGACTCCAAAAACCAAAAAGGGAAAACTAGGGTATTGTGAACAGTACCACCTCCAGGACTCTCATGCTAGGTTGGTACCACTGCCTGTGAGCTCTGAAAAGGGGCCCCATCGTAGGGAGCCTGAGAGTTAGTGACTGGCTAGCTGTTCTGATGTTGCTGACAGGATGCTGTGAAACTGGCTTTGCAAAACTGCCCTTGGAATTGACTATTGCTTACTGGAATGAACTGCCCCTGCCGGTGTAAAGAAACATACCCTAGGGTGTTCCTGTCTGCAGTAGGAAGGAGTGTTCCTTGCTCTTCTCTTGTCTTGCAATCCCTCTCTAGCGCTTCCTGTTGGTGGAGCCTAACAGACAGAGAGCTGGCTAAGGAGAAAAGTGGTTTGCAGAACGTTGTCTCAGCATCAAAGAACAGTCAAGAGGGGTAGATTTGAAGTCAAGAGACAGCCTAATAACCATTACATCATGCAATATGTTCTTAGTACAAATAACCTTATAATTTTAGTCTTTTTGTGAGGGCCCTAGATTGTTCTAAAGCATAATTCTCTCCTGTTAATAAAATATTTGTTTGATTACATGTAGCTTTAATTAAACACAAAACACAAGTCTAAGCAAAATGCAGTATTTTTTTGACTCAAACATTATTTAGGGGGAGGGCTTTAGACAGGGCCTCTCTATGTAGTTCAAGCCCTTGAACTCACAGTGATCCTCCTGCCTCAGCTCAGAGTGCGGGGATGACAGGTGTGTACCACCACATCCAGCTGACTTAGACATTGACATTATGACACACCATATTATTTGTACTATTGAGAAAAAAATATTGCCACTTAGTAGAAAATACTATCAGTTTTATGAGCTCATAAATCTCTAATTTCAGATTTTAAAATATAAAAAAATGTGCTTTAGGATTAAAAAAACACAGTATATTACTTTGTTTTCTGGTTATTTTAGGCCGTAGACTATCCTTAGAGGGTTAAAACTCTTCCTTATGTAAGGTCTCATCCTAATTCCTCTAATTCAGAACTTTTTAATAAACATCTCACAATTGATATTTTAAAATTTTTCATTTATTTGTGGTGCTGGAGATTGAATCTAGGACCTCACTCGTGCTATGCATGTGTTCCACCACTGAAGTGACATTCTCAGCTTCAGTCCTCTAACGTCAGGCTAAGCACAAAACGGATATTATGCAGTTTTTTAGTTTAGATAATATTCACTATAAATACGGCATTTTAGCTTTTGGCAATTTACTAAATAAAAGTTACTGGTTTTTCTTGTTCTTCAGGTGGCTTCCTTTCGGATGCAGGCTGGTACAGTGATGCTGAGAAAGTTTTTCTGTCCTGCCTTCAGTTGTGTACTCTACATGATGAGATGCTTCATTGGTTTCGCGCAGTAGAGTGCTGTGTGAGGTATCTTGAAACAGAGCCTACAATTATATCCTTACTCGCTTTTGTAGTTTTAGCTCATCTACTTGTACTCCAACATTTGAGTAAATCTCAAAGATAATACTTATGTGTCATAGTTTCAGTAGCCTAGCCTCTTCTTCCTACCTCCAAAATACAGTTAAATCTTTTTGCTTTTTCATAGAGTCTATGTGTTCATTTATTCAATAGATGTTTATTAAATGCTTATGTGCTAGTAACTCTGAGGCAGTGGATGCTAAAAAAGGTGAAGAAATTTACTTTTTCCTTGGATATAGTTTGTACTCTTTTTATTTACATTTCCATTAATTGTGCACAAAATTAGTATTTTACTTATAAATGTTTTCCTTAAAGATATGTTTATTTATTTATTTATTTAGTAGAAGTACTTAAAGGAAAGGCAAGCAGATCTAGAAATACCTCAGCTTTTATTGTCCTTATTTTTCCTGCATATGTGACATGTAGCTCTAGATATTTTGATACAGGGTTTTTCTCTCTTCTCCCCATTTTGATTTGGACAGCTTTCCTTTCTCCCTGGCTGCCTGCTTGCCTTCCTTAGTTTTTTGTGAGGCAGTCTCTCTGTGTTGCCTCTTTCACTCAGGTTGATCTCAAACTTAAAATTCTCATATCTCTGCCTCATAAGATGTGTGCTATTGCACTCTAATGATCCAGCATTTTCTTTGTTTGTTTTTTCTTTTGTTTTTTGAGACAGGGTCTAACTGTGGTTCAGTCTGGCCTTGAACTCACTATGTAGCTTAGGCTGGCCTCAAACTCAGCAATCCTCCTGCCTCAGCCTCCCAAGTGCTAGGGTCAAAGCGTTGCACCACCATACCTTGCAGATATTTTAGAGACAATTTAGTTAAATGCAAACCCTTTCAGAGATAAAATATGTATTCTTCTATAAAATCTTTTTTGACTTAAGCTAAAATTGAGTAAAGCTATCTTTTCTTCCTGTGTTTCAGATTTTTGTGGATTTCATTTGCCCTTTTTTATGCAAGGCTTATCTGAAACATTCAAATCCTAAAGATAAATTTATAATGTTTTAGAAATACTGAATGATAAATTATAGGATTGTATGCAGAAACTATAAAGGGATTAGTATCTGGCCCTATAAATTGTTGTACTGATGGAAATAATCCATCTTCTGCTTACAAGATTTTGGGGTGGGAGGATATCTGGGTATTAAACCCAAGGCCTTTCCACAGAGGTACATCCTTAACCCTTTTTCCTTTTTATTTATTTATTTTCTTTTGAGTCACGGTCTTAGGAGTTTGCTAAATTGCCCAGGCAGGGATCCTCCTACCAGCCAACCAGAGTGCTGGAATTATAAACATATGCTGCTGTACCCAGCATAGCCTGTTTTATATGGGATTTGAGAGTTGAAATGGTTCTGTGTACATGAACTAGTTTATTTGGAACAGAAAAGCCACTAGCATTTTATTTTCATATGTGTTTGATTTTCATTCACTGAAATCAGATGATTTATTTTGCCCAGATACTTGTTTCTTCTAATTTTAAGGCTGCTATATAAATTTTGCTTTAGCCTAACCTAGAGGGTTAGTTTTCTTAAGACCAGGGCTCTTTTCTCTCTTTCCTTGTTTGTCTTCTTTAGCAATACAGTGGTACTTTGGTTCACAAACTTACTTCTTTCCAGGATTCTAGTTGTAACTGAATTGCAAGCATATGCTCATATCACTGTAGCTCATATCATTGGGTTTACAAGTGTGCTAGGCAAGAAGGGAAGGGCAAAAGGCTCATGGCAGCTGAGTCTGCTTTTTCTTTTCTTTTTTAAAACCAGGGAAAAAAACCTTCCCAGAAGGCTGTTTGCCTGTTTTTTATACCATGACACGTTCTGTATATCCTTCAACTCATGTGAGATGTTCTAGGGAACAAAACTTTTATTTTTTATTCATGTTTTTGGGGAACAAAACTTTTATTTATTTATTTTTTTGATACTAGGGATCGAACTCAGGACCTTGGGCTTGCCAGGCAGGCACAGTGCTGCTGAGCTACATCCCCAGCCCGGGAACAAAACTTTTTAAACTGTCCACATAGTATTGATGCCTTGCATGAACTCTGAGGTCTCCATAAAGAAAGAAATGGAAGAGAATATTGAGATAATACAGTGAATAATAACCCAGATGTCTTTGGGATTTGCACATGTATACTTGCCAAATTCTTAGTGTTAGAGATGTAGTTAGTATAATTTATATTTTTGTTACCTACTTAGTATTATTTGAAAAGTGACTAATATTTTCAGCTTAGCTTTTTGCTTTTTTTTGGTACCGGGGATCGAATTCGGGTCCTTGCACTTGCGCAGCAGGCGGTGAAACCACTGGGCTAAATCCCCGGCCCAAGCTTAGCATTTTTTTAGGCAGAAGGAAATTTAGGGTTCTAATTCATCATGTGTTTAGTTAAATTGGAAAAGAACCATTTTGCAGAGTAGATACTAATGAAATCCTTTGGCCAATCCCAGGGGCTTTGAGCTTGATGGAAATGTGTTCTTCTGTTCAGTATTATAAAGGCAGTTTCTAATCTCGGGCTGGCATTGAAAGGGAGTAAATGTCAGAGAGCCTAATTGGCCTCCTGTGGTTAAACCTGGTACCCTTTTTTAGTCCTTTTTTATTCCTTATAGACTGTTGTGTTTCCCTTTACTCACTTTCTGTTTAATAATTTTTGTTTTTTCTGCATACAGATGTCTGTTGCAAAACAAATTCAGAAAATACAAAATTCAGAAATTACAAATTCAGAAAATTCAAAAAACAATTCAGAAAATACAAAAATTCAGAAAATACAAAAAAACCACGAAGAGGAAAATAAATATTGTCCCTAACCTCTTGCCTAGAAATAACTACAATTACTATGTAGTGTAGTTGTCCCTCAGTATCCATGAATGCGTGGTCCTAGGACTCCGGTGAACACTGAAACCGGCAGATGCTCATGCCCCTTATGTAAGATGGCATAACATTGGCGTGTAACTGAGGCACATCCTTTCTATACTTCTGAACAATACCTAGTACAGTGTAAATGCCTTGTAAATAGTTGTTATACTATATTGTTTAGGAAATGTACCTATTTCTGTGAAGTCCTATTCCCTCTTCCCTCCAAATATTTTCCATCCATGAAACACTCAAATATAGAGGACTGACTGTAGTAGTGCAGTTTCTTGGAAGATAACCGAAAAGCTCCTCCTTAACCCCCTTTCCAGCTTTTTCTCTGGGGTTAATCAGTCCGTGAGCATGATTTGTCAGAGGTCATCTAAGAGCAGAGATTGCCTTTGGGTTTGTGGGGATGAGACAGATCAAACTTACTTTTAAATCCTTTTCTAGCTGGGTGTGTTAGCGCATACCTGTGATCCCAAGGCTGAAGCAGTTCGAGCCCAGCTGGAGCAATTTAGTGACTTAACAAGACCCTGTCCCCAAAATATAAAAAAGGGCTGGGGCTGTAGCTCAGTGTGAAGGCCCTGGGTTCACTCACCATTACTGCCAAACAAAAGAAAAATCCTTTTCTATTATTTATTTTTAGACCATGGACATGTATTACTTCAATACTTTTTTTGTTAATATTTTTAAATGAAAAAAAGAATTTCATGAACTGTTGGAAGAAAGACTTGAATCTGGATTGGGAGAGAACCCTGAGTCCTGGGTGGTTTGAATTTTCTGAAATCCAAAGATAAATAAAAGACTATAACAATATCTCAATTGCTGAGAGAAAATACTATACCTCACCAACTTTTAGAACAAAAGAAAGAATTTTCAATTATACTAAAACTCAGTATACTTCCGTGTATCTTATCTGAGGAGAAAACTCAAGGAGTTTCTCTAACCAAATAATAGTTCAATAATAACAAGTCTCAAGAAGGGGGAAGATGGTATAGAAACAGTGGTAAATAATAAATATTGTAGTATATGCCTTCCATGTAAATGGAGTAGGAAGAGAGTGAAGAACTAATTAGGAGTTTTAAATAAATTTTAAGTATGAATGTTTTTCAAACTGGAGATGAAAGAAAAATTTTCCAAATAACATAAAACTCTGAAATTCTCCAAAACACGTTCTTAAACATTAAGATAAAGTTGAGTGTTTTTTTTCTCACTGATAATCATTGCTTAATAAAGAGAGTTGCCTTGCAAAGTCTCCCATTTTATGTGATGTTCATTCAGATTCATTATTTTAAACAACAAAGAACTATTTGGGGAAGAAATGTTAAACTGAAACTTAGGTCATTGGTAATGTCAAGAAGCTCATAGAGGCCATGTGGCAAAATTTTTGTTTTAAAAAATGAAATGGGGGCCTAGGCATGGTTGCAAAGCAGTAGGACTTATCATTTTTCCAAAGAGGGAAAAAAAATGTAATGAAGTTTAACAGATTTGGAATTATTCTAGAGGACATGACCTTATCAGTGCTGGATATCTTTGCTTTTTTTGTTTTGTTTTGTTTTGTTTTTGAGACAGGGTCTCCCTGTGTAGCTCTGGCGGGACTTGAACTCACTATGTAAACCATGCTGGCCTCAAACTCACAGAGATCCTCCTGCCTCCACCTCCTGAGTGCTGGGATTACAGGTGTGCATCAGCACATCCAACTCCACTAACTGGATTTTAAAGATTACTTCAGAAAGTGATCCCGTGAGGGCTGGGCTTGGTGGCTCACACGTGCAGTCCTAGCACTCTGGGAGACTGAAGGTAGGGCATTGCAAGTTCAAGCCTTTCCTGGGCAACTTAGCAACTTAGTAAGACCCTGTCTCAAAAAGTTTAAAAGAAAATGATACAGTCAGTGGTTCATTTGTAGAGATCATGAATGTTTCTACTTGCCATAGAGGAATGAAAAAGTATAATAGTCCTAATGCTTTGCAGATAGTTGCTGGTAGCTTTGGAAAAGTTTGTGTTTTGTTTTTGTTTTTGTTGTTGCAGTACTGGGGATCAAATCCAGAACTTAATGTGTGCTAAACAAGTGCTCTACTACTAAATCCCCAGCCCCTTTAAATTTTTATT